GAGGGTGGTGGGTGGTGGGTGGTGGGTGGAGGGTGGAGGGTGGAGGGTGGTGTGAGAAGAGCAATGAGTGATGGGTGGTTTGTGCTGAGTGGTGCATTCTGCATGGTGGATGGGGCATGGTTACATTGTGCAGGGCGCATAGCACAATCACAGCAGCACACTCACAGCGTGCACACCTCCCGTCCCGTGCGCGCATCCCAGAGCTTCGAATGCGTGTCCTTGCCACCTGGCAGTGGGGAAGGTTGGGGGACGGGCGGTTGTCGGGAAACGCAGAGCGGATGTCAAGACCAGGAAGAACAGATGCCAAAAAGAGGAAAAGGATCAGCAAACGAACCAGATGGGGAGAGGATTGCATGCGAAGATGAGGGCACCTAAGACCACTGAGGGAGAGAAACGGAAAAGCTCCTAAGACGATAAGGGAGATGGAAGGGTGGATGGCATGGCAGTCAGCACACAGCACGTTCCACCAGTAGCAGTCACCCTTTGAGAGCAGCCGGCAGGGCCGAGGCGACGGGGGAGGGGAGGAATGTGAACGTATCCGAGACAGTGAGGGAGTTGAAGGGGTGCCAGTCAGCACACCGCATGTTCCTGCTATGGCCTGGAGTGCGCATTGCACCGTGTGTGTGCTGTGTGAACGAATGCAGGGAGGAATGCAGACACACTGGGAGATGTTCAAACATACCAGAGACAATGAGGGAGTTGAAGGTGTGAAGATTGTGAATTGAACAAGTAATTAGATTAGAGGAACAACCTAGCATACATAGTTGGAAGGGAAGGTTGGAAGGGAAGGATGAAAGTGACCATAGGTTGGGTTGACCTCACTTGGGGAAGTGAGGGAACCATAGGTCAAGTGGGTTGGGTTGCCCACACTTTGTAGAAGTGAGGCAACCCTAGGCCCACTTGGCTTGGGGTAACCTCAATTGTGGGAAGTGAGGTACCCACAAGTCAAGAGGGTTGCATTTGGGGGCTCCACCACAATTGGGTGGATTGGCACCCCAAAGTGCAAGACTACACCCAAAGTTGGGTGTAGTCCCAACCCAACTGTACACCACAATTGGTGTACAGTCACATGTGTTGGCATGCTACACAATATATATTTTAACACAACCCCTTAGCATGCTAACACAAGAAGAGAACAACCCCTGAATCAAGGGGCGCCCGGGCGAGCAAGGCCAAAGAGGCGGAGGAAGGCAGAGTGCGCGGGGCGAAGGAGGGCCTTAGTGAAGATGTCGGCCAAGTTGGCCTCGGTTGCAATCTTGCGAACGGCAATGAGGCCCTTCTGGACGAGCTCGCGAACGAAGAAGTAGCGGAGTTCGATGTGCTTGGAGCGGGCGTGATAGACGGGGTCCTGAGTGAGATGGATGGTGCTGGCGTTGTCGCACCAGAGAGTGGGGCACGTCTGGGGGGCGCCAAGCTCCGCAAGAAGGAAGCAGAGCCAGCGCGACTCCTGGGCGGCCATGGTGCCAGCGTAGAGCTCGGCTTCGCAGGTGGAGAGAGAGATGGCGGAGGAGCGGGTGGAGCGCCAGCTGATGAGGCCGCTGCCAAGGGTGAAGCCGTAGCCCTGGGAGGAGCGGCGGTCCGGCTGCGTGTCAGCCCATGAGGAGTCACTGAAGCCCGAGAGAAGGGGACGGGAAGGGCCGCCGAGGGTGAGGGCAAGGTCCCTGGTCCCGCGAAGGTAGCGGAGGACCCGCTTGGCAGCTTTCCAGTGCTCCTCAGAGTGACGACCGGTGCCGACAAAGCGAGCGAGCACGCTGATGGGGTAGGCGAGGTCGGGGCGGGTGCACATCATTGCGTACATCAAGGACCCAACGAGCTCGGCATAGGGGTGGGGGGAGGAGGTGGGGGAGGTGGGTGGAGCGAGTTGGTGACCGAAGGGGAGCGGGGTGGAAACAGGCTTGGCTTGCGCCATGTCGAACTTCTCCAAGACCTGGCCGATGTAATGGGACTGGGAGAGGGTGATTGTGCGAGCAGGGCGGTTGCGCGTGATGGTCATGCCGAGGTAGTGAGTGAGGGCGCCAAGGTCTTTGCACTTGAGCCGCTGCTGCAGGGACAGCTTCACCTGCCCCATGTCGGCCTTGGTGTCAGAGAGCAGGATCATGTCGTCGACATATACCAGAATGAAGAAGCGGCGGGGGGAGGAGCGGATGAAGAGGCTGGCGTCGGAGTGGGAAGCAGAGAAGCCGAGGGACCCCAAGGTGGCAGCCAGCTTCGCATGCCACTCACGCGGTGCCTGCTTCAAGCCGTAGACGGGGCGATGCAGCTGCCAGACAGTGTTCTCAGGAAAGGCTGCGTGGAACCCGGGGGGTCGCCGGAGGAAAATGCGCTCATGCAGGTCGCCCTGCAGGAACGCATTGGAGACGTCCATGGAGTCGATTTCCATGTCGTCACGTGCACCAATGTCCATGGCGGCGCGAAGGGTGGGTGGTTTGGCGGTGGGGGCGTAGGTGAACCAGTAGTCCTCAGCCCAAGTCTGCGTGAACCCCTTGGCGCAGTAGCGGGCCTTGTACACTGGTTCCTCGCCCGGCAGCTGCTTCACCCGAAAGACCCATTTGCCGTCAACGAGATTAGCGCCAGCAGGGAGGGGGACATCGACAAAGGAGTCGTTGCGAATGAAAGCCTCACACTCCAGGAAGATCGCTGCTATCCATTTATCCGCATCAGGGCAGGTGATGGCTTCCTGGAAGGTGGAGGGAATGAAGATGGTGGGGGTAGTAGTGGCGCCAAGGACAGGAAAGCCCAGGAAGTCAAGGTAGAGGGCGGCAAGGAATGGAGTGTGCTCCCGAATGTTAAGAAACTCCTCATGGGAGTCCTCAAGGAGCTGAATGGAGGCAGGAGGAGGAGCCCCAAGGATTTTGTCCACAGAGCGGGTATGGATGTAAGGGAGGAGGAAGGGGGAGGAACGGGAAGTGGCACGACGCCGCTGCTGCTGCTGGTGCTGCGGAAGCTGCTGCCCTTGTTGCTGCGGCTGCGGCTGACCGTGCTGGTGCTGCGGCTGCTGAGGCTGCTGAGGCTGCTGCTGCTGCTGCTGCCGCCGCTGCTGCTGCTGCTGCTGCTGCTGCTGTCCCGGCTGCCGCTGCTGCTGCTGCTGCTGGCCCGGCTGCTGCTGCTGCTGCTGGCCCGGCTGCTGCTGCTGCTGCTGCCCCGGCTGCTGTCCCGGCTGCTGCTGCTGCTGCTGTTGCTGCTGCGGCTGCTGCTGCTGCTGCTGCTGCTGATCCGGCTGCTGGAAGGAGGGAGAGGGAGAGGAGGAGGGAGGGGGGGGAGGGGGTGCGGCCGAGTGAGCGGGGGAAGCGGGTGCGGCAGGGTCGTAGACATCGGCGGAGGAGGAGGGCGGGAGCGGAGCTGCGACGGGTGGGAGGAGAGGGGCTAGAGGGAGAAGGGGCGGGAGGACGGTGTCGGTCCAAGCAAGGGGACGAGTGGGAGGAGGGAGAGGATCAGGGGGAGGAGTGGAGTAATAGGGGACGGATTCGTCGAAGACGACGTCGCCGCTGCGGATGAGGCAATTGGTGGGAGGGTGGAGGAAGAGGTAGCCTGGGGAGTCGCGATTGTGCCCAAGGTAAACGCATTCCAGGGCGCGAGGAGCAAGCTTGCCAGCGGCGCGGGAGCGGTCGGCGGGTGGGATGAGAACGAAGGCCTTGCAGCCCCAAACGCGAAGGCCGGCAGCGTCGGGTTTGGCGTTGGACCAAAGCTCTGTAGGGGAGGAGGAAGGATGCTGAGGGTGGGAGCGGAGATTAAGGAGAAGAGCGGCGTGGAGGAGGGCATAGCTCCAGAGGGAAGGAGGGGTGGAGGCATGAGCAATGAGACAGCGAGCTATCTTGGTGATCTCACGAATGCGGCTCTCAGCAATGCCGTTCTGCTGAGGGGAGTGGGGAAGGGTGGAGGTCTGTTGGATGCCGTAGGTGTTGCAGTATGTGGCAAGGGTGTTATTGATGAACTCACCCCCACCGTCAGAGTGAAGGCGGCCGATGGGGCGTTTAAAGTGATTGCGGTACTGTTCGGCCCAGTTGATGACCACTGCCGGCACCTGGTCTTTCGTGTGAAGGAAGAAGGTGGTGGAGTACCGGCTGTGGTGGTCAACGAGGACGAGCATGTACCGATGCCCCTGGCGGGAGCGGATGGGATAGGGGCCCCAGAGGTCCATGTGCACAAGGTCAATGGGGGCGGCGGCGAAGGTGGGATGACTGTGGTGGGGGGACTGTTTGAGCTTGCCGTGAATGCATGAAGGGCATGGGGGAGAGGGGGAGGAGGGGAGGGGAGGTAAAACAGGAGGAAGGCTGCGGAGGAGGCGAGAGGTGACTGTGGTGCGAAGGGCGGTGAAGTTGGGATGGCCGAGTCTGTGGTGTAAGAGGACAGCAGGGTGGGAGAGGGTAGTGGAGGAGGAGGGAGATGGGGTGATGGAAGGAACGGGAGGGGAGGAGGAGGATGGTGGGGAGGGAGAAGAGGATACTTGAGGGGGAGGGGAAGGGGGAAGTAAAGGAGGAGGAGGTGGACCGGTGGAAGCACCGGAACGAGTGGTGACGTGGCAGAAGGATGGGCGAGGCGTGCGGAGTGTGTAGAGGCGAGTGCGGGGGCAAAGCGGAATGCGGAGAAGGAAGCGACCGGAGGAGGTTTGGTAGAGATCACAGTAATTGGCATAACCGGGGTAAATGGCAGTGATACCAACACCTTGGAGCTCACGGTGGGAGAGGAGGTTGTTGCGGAGAGTGGGGATGTGGAGACCTGTGACCTTACCGGAGGGGAAGGCAGTGCAAGGGAGGGTGGAGAGGTGAGTGCATGGAATGGAAAAGCTGGAATCAGCCCCATGAACCTGAGTGGGAAGTGGTAGTGGGGTGAGAGTGCCAGCGTCTTTCAGTGCGGTTTCAGTGGCTCCACTGTCAAGGACAAAGTCCAGGGTGGGAGAAGAGGGAGGAGGGGGTGGGACGGGGTACTGAAACGAAGTCTCATTGATAGCAGAGGGATACATGGCAGCGACGGACGGTGCAACACTGATATTACCAAGGAAACTACCAGAAGTGTCGGGAACACTGGGGGGGGCAGAGGGGAGGGAACCCCAGGGGGGAGGAGGAGGGAGGTATGAGCGGCCATGGCCGCTGTGCCGAAGGTGAGTGGCTGCTGCTGCCAGGGTGGGGGAAGGAACTGCTGCTGCTGCTGCGGCGGTGGCTGGAAGAACTGCGGCGGCGGCGGCTGCTGGGGCTGGAGAAACTGCGGCTGCTGCTGCTGCTGGTGGAAGTACAGGTGCTGCTGCTGCTGGTGCTGCTGAAACTGCTGCAGCTGTGAGGGTGGGGAGGGGGTAACCATGCGGAGGTGAGCAGGAAGGAAAGAGGGGAGGGTTTGAATGTCCACTAAGGAGGGGCGAGGTGTGACCGAGTTCCAGCGAGGACGGGTGCCAGTGTTGCCGCGATCAAACCAGGCGTCGTCGAGTGCCTTAAAGCACGTGGTGGGGGGATGGTTGGTCTGGCCGCAAGGGGTACCTGCATGGGGACCATGGCGACGCACATATGTGCATGGGGGGAGAGTGCCAGGGCGTCCGCCTCGAGTCACAGCACCTCCAGCAGGGGCGCTGCCAGCACCACCACCACCGCCACCACGGCCACCACGGCCACCACTACCACCACCGCCACCACCACGGCCTCCACCACCACCACCGCCACCCGCTCCACGGCCTCCGCCGCCGCCGCTGCGACCACCCTGGTTGCGCGGCTGCGTAGCGTTGAGGGAGGTGGAGGAGGAGGACTGAGGGGTGGTAAGGTTGACAACGGGGGTGCGGAGCTTGACCTCCGTGTCAATGATCCACTGGACCACGTCGTCGAGGCCGGCCATGGGGTTGGCCTCAGTGAAGGCATGGAGGCGGGACTCGTAGTCCGGGGTGAGGTTGTAGAGGAGGCGGTGGATTTGCAGGGGCTCGGGGAGGGCAGCTTGGCGTGCCGCAAGGCGATCAGCGACCTCCTGCATGCGCCCCACGTAGTCAACTGCGCCATCACAAGTGGCGAGGGTGATGGAGAAGTACTCCTGGAACAGGGCGCCGACAGAGCTGATGTCGCGACGCTCGAACATGGCCTGGAGCTCGGCCCAGATGAGGGAGGCGCGCATCTCGCGAGCTTGGAAACGGCGCATGAGGGTATCAGGGAGTGCGCCGAGGAGGATGGTGCAGGCGCGGTTGTCAGCAGTGGCCCATGCGATGCTCCGAGGGAGGTAGTCCGCCATGGCCGTATTGTACTCATCAAGGAGCGCCAGGCGATTGGCGCGTTCCGCTACCGCGAAGTCGTGGTTATGTACCGCAACCTCATGCTCCGCCTTGCGGATGAGGTATTCGCGGCGATCGTGGAGAAATGCGGCATCGGCGGCATCTTGGAGCGCTGGGGAAGTGGCGATCTCCAAGGTGGGTTCAGGAGGAGGAGGACCAGGAGGAATGGGGGGTGGAGGGGGTTCGCCGGGGTGATTGGGTGCCGTGGGCTGGAGGGCTTGCGGGCGGCGGAGGAGGACGTCAAGGACGCAGTAGGGTCCGACGAATGCATCTTGGAGAACACGGCGGATGCTCCCGACGAAGGAATGCCAGTTGATCGCCGAGCGGTCCGCGGCAAGCTGAAGCTTGTCGACGGAGGAGGCGTCAATGGGAGGGGGGAGAGGGGGAGGAGTGGTAGCCATGAGGGGCGACGGCGGGTGGACCCGCGGCGGCCTCGAGGTGGACGGCGGCGGGTGGACCCGCGGCGGTCAAGTGGGAGGGCGACGGCGGGTGGACCCGCGGCAGCCGAGAGGGAGGAGGGGGGGGGGGGGGGGGGGGGGGGGGGAGGGGGGGGGGGTGTGCTGCTGCGGGGAGTGGAGTTCTTCTCCGGCTGCTGCTGCTGCTGCCGCTGCTGCCGCTGCTGCCGCTGCTGCCGCTGCTGCCGCTGCTGCCGCTGCTGCCGCTGCTGCTGCTGAGAGGGAGGAGGGGGGGGGGGGAGGGGAGGAGGGGGAGGAAGATGGTGGATGCAGCTGCTGCCGCTGCTATCGCTGCTCCTGATGCTGCCGCTGCTGCCGCTGTTGCTGCTGTGGCTGCTGAGCTGTCCCGGCTGCTGCTGCGTGGGAGGAGAGGAGGAGGAAAGGGGGAGGGGGAGGGAGAACGCAGGTGTAGCTGTGGGCGAAGCTGTTGCTGCCAATGACGCTGCTGCTGCGGGATGAGGCGGCTGCTACGAGGAACGTTCGGCGGCGGGATGCGCGGGTGGCGACGAGGGAATCGTGGCGGCGGAATGAGCGAGCGGCGACGAGGAGGGCGCGGCGGAGGGATGCGCGGGCGGCGACGGGGAAGGCGCGGCGGTGGGATGCGCGGGCGGCGACGAGGAAGGCGCGGCGGCGGGATGCGCGGGCGGCGACGAGCAGGTCGCGGCGGTAGGATGCGGGGGCGGCGATTGTTAGGTCGCGGCGACGGAATGTGCGGGCGGCGACGAGCAGGTCGCGGCAGGAGGTCGCGCGGGCGGCGACTTTAGGTCGCGGCGGCAAGGGGTGCAGGCGGCGACGAGAAGGTCGCGGCGGCAAGGGGTGCAGGCGGCGACGAGAAGGTCGCGGCGGCGGGATGCGCAGGCGGCGACGCGAAGTCGCGGCGGCGGGTCGTGCAGGCGGCGACGCGAAGTCGCGGCGGCGGGTCGTGCAGGCGGCGACGCGAAGTCGCGGCGGCGGATCGTGCAGGCGGCGACGAGCGGGTCGTGGCGGCGGGATGCGTAGGCGGCGACGGGGGGTCGCGGCGATGGGGAGTGCAGGCGGCGACGCGAAGTCGCGGCGGCGGGACAGGAGGCGACGACGGGGCGTCGCGGCGGCGGGATGCGCAGGCGGCGCCGAGGAAGGCGCGGCGGCGGTGGGGGGAGGCGGCGACGCGACGTCGCGGCAGCGGGAGGGGCAGGCGACGACGGGGCGTCGCGGCGGAGGGATGCGTGGGCGACGCCGAAGTAGGCGCGGCGGCGGGAGGGAGACGGCGACGGGGGGTCGCGGCAGGGGGAGGAGGAGGCGGCGACGAGGCGTCGCGGCGGGATGTGCAGGCGGCGCCAGAGAAGGCGCGGCGGCGGAAAAAAGGGGGAGGGGGGGGGGGGGGGGGGGGGGGGGGCAGCGACGGTGTGTCGCGGCGACGGGGGGCGGTGATGCACTCGCGGCGGTGGGATCCGCAGGCGAGGAGGGCGCAATCACGGCGGAGGGAGGGGAGGGCGGCGACGACGTAGGTCGTGCCAAGGAGATGCTAGGTTGAGCCACACGTAGGGGGTTTGTGGCTGTGGGGTGGGCCCATGGGGAAGAAAAAACTTTGAGGGAGGGAGAGAAAAGGCTTAGGAACAACTAGCTCTATACCATGTGAAGATTGTGAATTGAACAAGTAATTAGATTAGAGGAACAACCTAGCATACATAGTTGGAAGGGAAGGTTGGAAGGGAAGGATGAAAGTGACCATAGGTTGGGTTGACCTCACTTGGGGAAGTGAGGGAACCATAGGTCAAGTGGGTTGGGTTGCCCACACTTTGTAGAAGTGAGGCAACCCTAGGCCCACTTGGCTTGGGGTAACCTCAATTGTGGGAAGTGAGGTACCCACAAGTCAAGAGGGTTGCATTTGGGGGCTCCACCACAATTGGGTGGATTGGCACCCCAAAGTGCAAGACTACACCCAAAGTTGGGTGTATTCCCAACCCAACTGTACACCACAATTGGTGTACAGTCACATGTGTTGGCATGCTACACAATATATATTTTAACAGAAGGTCGACGCACAGCACGTTCCACCGGTGGCCTGCTGTGTGCAGAGTCGACTAAAAAATCGACTAATCACATGCGATGTGTGCGATGGCCTGCTGTGTGCGATGGCCTGCTGTGTGCGATGGCCTGCTGTGTGCAATGGCCTGCTGTGTGCAATGCACCATTTTTGCGTGGATAAGGAAGGCAGGCAGATCAGCCTTACCGGAGAGACACGGAGCAGGCGTACCAGAGACGATGAGGGAGTTGAAGGGGTGCCAGTCGACACACAGCACGTTCCAGCGATGGCCTGCGAGGGTGACCTCGTCCTGACAGCGCGCAAAGTCCCACACCTTCACTGCTGTGTCGTCAGAGCACGAACAGAACTTGAGATCTGAGCTTGAAAAGCTGTGGTAAAGGGGGGGGGGGGTGCAGGGGGATGGGCCCGAGGTGGATGGAGGGGAAGGGTGTTAGGAAAGGAGAAAATGAGGTCAGGGCTTGAGAAGCTGGAGGCAGTAGGAGGAACCAGGCTTTAGGGTTTCAGGGGTAGGGCTTAGGGGCGGAGGCGGCGGAAGGGGGGAGGATGGAGGATGGAGAATGGAGGATGGAGGATGGCGTTATGTGGATGAGCCTATTTTTGAGTCGACTCAAAACCAGGCTTTAGGGTTTCAGGTGTAGGGCTTATGGGCGGAGGCGGCGGAAGGGGGGAGGATGGAGGATGGAGGATGGAGGATGGCGTTATGTGGATGAAGTGTGGGGCACGAAACACAATGAGTTAGCATGCTTGGATGGATGTGTGAGCCTGGAGCAGAAGGAATTGGAAAGAGGAAAGCGATACTGAATCGCTTTTGAGAATTCTCAAAGCTACTGCGACAAGATGAGCTGAATGACGATGACGACAAGAGCAACGGACATTCCCAGCACTTGGCAAAAAACGAAATACCTGACGTCATGGAAGGAAAGGAAAGGAATCACCTGACGCCCTGCACGGACTCCTTGTGGGCCGCGGCATTCTCCTTCATCATGCGCAGGTTGGTCTGGAAGTACCTGCCAGCCAACGCCAGTCAACGCCAGTCAATGGGGCCAATACGGTCAATAGGAACCAAATGAATCTCGATCAGGGGTAGTTAGAATCTCATCTCAAAGTAAGGTACTTCAATTTCAATAGGAAGCGGTTGAGTTGTTGAGACTTTAAAACAGACGTGAATCTATCGACTTGCTCACTAGCGACTGTTAAACTGTTGGAAAAAATCTCACTTGATGCATCCTGATTCGTCCCCTGACACCAGCCAGTTGCCGTTATGGCTCCACACCATACTCCTCACTGCCACCTGATGGGCCTGCAAGATACACGCATCAGGGGACGAAGCGGGGAACGCAATGAGTATGTTCCACCTGCACTGCACCTGCAGGTGGCATGTGGCACGAATCAGAGGACTACCTGCCACCTATCAGAGTCCTATGAGAGGACTACCTGCCACCTATCAGAGTCCTATGAGAGGACTACCTGCCACCTATCAGAGTCCTATGAGAGGACTACCTGCCACCTATCAGAGTCCTATGAGAGGACTACCTGCCACCTATCAGAGTCCTATGAGAGGACTACCTGCCACCTATCAGAGTCCTATGAGAGGACTACCTGCCACCTATCAGAGTCCTATGAGAGGACTACCTGCCACCTATCAGAGTCCTATGAGAGGACTACCTGCCACCTATCAGAGTCCTATGAGAGGACTACCTGCCACCTATCAGAGTCCTATGAGAGGACTACCTGCCACCTATCAGAGTCCTATGAGAGGACTGCTCTGCTCTGCACCTATCAGAGGACTACCTGCCACCTGCAGCACCCCCCCTTCCCCCCCACCAGCAGCAGCAGCAGCAGCAGCAGCCATGAACGTACAGGCTACCCACTTGCATGACCATCTCGAAGTTGGAGGAGAGTCCGTTCCAATGTTTCGAGGTGACTTCCGAGATGCCAGCATTGAGGTGGAGGAGAGTTGTCATCTCGTAAGAGTCCGTTCCAAAGTGCGATGCGAACTCGACTTTTGAGGCGCCTCAAAAGTCGTCTCTCTACCTGCGAGAGCCCGTTCCACAGTGCGTGCTCGCCCCGTGCCAGTGTTTCGAGGTGGCTTCCGAGTGGATTCCATTTTTTTACCTCAATACAAACAAACAACGGCACACGGCACACTCACTCACCTGCATGAGCATCTCAAATTTGAAGGAGAGCCCGTTCCACAGCGTGAACTTTAAGAGCAGCGTCCCCAGCAGCAACTTTAAGAGCAGCGCCCCCAGCAGCAACTTTAAGAGCAGCGTCCCCAGCAGCAACTTTAAGAGCAGCGCCCCCAGCAGCAACTTTAAGAGCAGCGCCCCCAGCCCAGCACCCGCCACCAACCCACCTGCATGAGCATCTCAAAGTTGAACGAGAGCCCGTTCCAAAGCGTGAACTCGCCACTCTGCGACCCTGTCAGCAGCCGCCGCCCCGTGGGCGTCCACTGGAGAGGAGTGGGGAATGGTGGAGCGGGGTGGGGTGAGGTGGGGTGAGGTGGGGTGAGGTGGGGTGAGGTGGGGTGAGGTGGGGTGAGGTGGGGTGAGGTGGGGTGAGGTGGGGTGAGGTGGGGTGAGGTGGGGTGAGGTGGGGTGAGGTACGGACTTGCAGTGCTCTGAGACACCGTCAGGCGATAGTAACGCGGAGAGGGGTGCTGGCAGGGAGGAAAAAAGGCGAAATAGGGGTGTGTGGCGTGGAGGAGGAGAGGGCAAGAGCTGTGGGAGGGGTTGGGTAGGGGAAGGGGCATTCTGGGGGGCATGAGGAGGAGATTGATGGATGTGCTGTGACGTGATGTCAGGGGCAGGGTGGCAGCACGCAGTTGCATGCCATACCACCACCATCCATCCACCCCATCCCACCACATCTCACTGCACTCCATCCCATGCCACACCTTATCACCGCATTGCACACATGTCGTACCACGACTTGGTTGATGGGGCAGCGGATCTTGTTGGTGGAGGCGTGCACAAAGCGAGACGCGATGCTGGCTGCTGGGCGGTCCTCATACCCCATGCACGGCAGCAGCTGGGCAAGACGGGTGGGAGGGGGAAGGGGGTGGGGGGAGGAGAAGTTGAGGCATACTACAAGGGGGCTGAAGACATGCGATGCTGGCTGCTGGCCGGTCCTCATACCCCATGCACGGCAGCAGCTGCACGGGGGGGGAAGGGGAGGGGGAAGGGGAGTGAAAGGGGCGGAGGGGGAGGGAAGGGGAGGGAGGAACTCAGGAGCGGGAGTAGTGTGAGGAGGCTCAGTGATGCGGTGCTGGCTGCAGGGCAGCATCTGCATGAAGCAGAGTGGCTTGAGACGTCTCAAAACACTTCTTTTATCACGGAGTGGGGGAGATTGGGCAGGGTGAGAGAATGGTGCAGGGGGCAGAGTGCGGAGGTGGGAAGATGGAAGAAGAAGCGGGAGTGGTGTCGGGCGACTTATGGAGGGGCAGCAAAGAAGGGAGCTGATGAGCAGGAAGAGAGGACTCTGGAGGAGACGGCAAAGGGACACGCTGCGGAGCAGTGGAAGGACGCAGTTCCATCTGGTGCGTGCCCGGGACCGCAGGAGGACGCTGACGTGGAACACGACGACCAGTGCGAGCAGCACGAACAGGTGACGCAGGACGCGACTCAGGCTCACGACGCTCAGCAAGACCTCCAGTAGGACCAGCATGTCAGAATCCCAACCACTAGACCATTGGGATAAAAGGGCTTGTTAAGTAGCGGGTCAGTGCGCCCATAACCCCCCAGGACAACGAGCCTGTAACCCTTCCCTAGGATCAATCGGGGATCACCAGTGGACCTCTGACACCCCCCCGCACTGGGATGCCCGAAGTGCACACACTAGGATTCGAACCCGAGACCTTCGCTCTGATAACATGTCAGAATCCCAACCACTAGACCATTGGGATAAAAGGGCTTGTTAAGTAGCGGGTCAGTGCGCCCATAAGCCCCCAGGACAACGAGCCTGTAACCCTTCCCTAGGATCAATCGGGGATCACCAGTGGACCTCTGACACAGCATAGGGAGAAGGAGCAGACAGTGGGGAGGCCAGCTGTAACTGTGACTCGGACTGGACAGGCGGTGGACACTCTAAGGAAGGAGCAGGACCAGAAGAAGGCGGAAGACCAAGAACCTGCTCAAGGAGCGGAACGAAGTACGGCCGTGGCCGCGCAGCGCCTCCAGAACCAGCAGGGACAGCACCAGCACCCCCAGCGTCAGCTCCAACTCCAGCAGCACCACCAGCACTAGCAGCACCTCCAGCAGCTCCAGTAGCGCCAACTCCAGCACCCATAGGAGCACCGGTTCCAGCAGCACCTCCAGCTCCAGTACCTCCAGCAGCTCCAGCTCCAGCAGGACCACCGGAAGACGCAGCAGCTCCGGCTCCAGTACCCCCAGTAGCACCTACTCCAGCAGCCCCGCCAGCTCCAGCTCCGCCAACAGCTCCAGCACCAGTAGCACCACCAGGCCCAGCAGCTCCAGTACCTCCAGGACGAGCACCTCCGGGACCCGTGGCTCCAGCACCCCCAGCCGCAGTAGAAACTCCAGCACCGGCAGCACCACCAGCTCCAGCAGCACGGCTCCAATGCCGAGCAAACCACTCGCGCAGCTCCTGTGGAGAGGGTAGCTCCCGCCGGGACGAAGCACCCGAAGGACCTCCAGGCCCAGCACCGTCAGGCTCCGCACCCCCACACTCAGCAACCCCAGGCTCAGCACCCCCACACCCAGCACCCCCAGGCTCTGCACGCTCAGGCTCAGCACCCCCAGACCCAGCACCCCCAGGCTCCGCACGCTCAGGCTCAGCACCCCCAGCAGCACCAGAGTCAACAGCTACCTCGATAGGCTCGACTGCGTATACCTGGGACACACCTGAGGGGGCAGGACCCTGAGAGGGGAGGGGGTCTACCGGGGGGGGGACCGGGCGCGAGGAAGAGCGGCGGGGGGGGGAGGGGGGCAGCGCGGTAGGGGAAGAGACGGTAGTACGGAACCGACTCGTCAAACGTGACGTCCTGGGAGGACAGAACACGGCGAGAGGTGGGGTGGTAAAACTGCCAACCAGGCGCGTCAGGGGGGAAGCCAAGGAAGACGCAAGGAACAGCACGGGAGGACAGCTTGTCCGCAGACAAGTCACGGACAAAAGCTCGAGATCCCCAGACACGGAACGCAGACGCATCGCCAACCTTCCCCGTCCACCGCAGAGTAGGGGAGGTCTCCAGCATCGAGACCCGGGGCTGAAGGTTGATCTGATGCGCCGCATACTGAACCGCGAACAGCCACAGAAAATGGGGAGCAGCCGCATGGATCATGGACGTACGAGCGACGTCCATGACCATGCCAATGCGGCGCTCAGCAATCCCATTTTGCTGTGGAGAGGCCGGAAGCGTGAACGTCTGGCGGATGCCCTCCGCACGAAGGAAGGCTCGCAGAAGGTCGGAGGAAAACTCTCCACCTCTGTCGGAGTGCAGACGCAGAACAGGAAAGTCCGAGCCGAAACTCTCTCTGAACTGGAGACGGGCAGCACGGATCCAGTCGATCAACACCTCAGTGACCTCACCCTTGCGGCGCAAGGGGAAGACTGTGGTGTAACGCGAGTAGTCGTCAACCACCAGCAGGAAGTAACGCTCGTGACCCTGTCCACGGACGCGGGCTGGGCCCCACACGTCCATGTGGAGAGTCTGCAGCGGAGCCTCTGTCGGAGGAAACTCGGAGGAGTGAGGAGCGGCGCGCTGCCGCCCCTCGACGCAGGGAACGCAGGTAGGGGCAGGCCCCGGGGGAAGGGGAGGGAGGGACCGGGGGAGACCAGAGACAAGGACACGGGAGGCCATGCCTCGGAGACGAGGCAGGGAGGGGTGACCAAGGCGGTGGTGCCAGAGGAGAGTCTGGTGAGACAGGAGACGACACGAGCAGGGGGCAGACTCAGGACCAGACCTGGACGCTGCAGCAAACACCTGACCCGACGCAGCTACCTGGCCAGACGCAGGAACCGGAGGAGACTCGGTAGTCAGTGTGTACAGGCTCGACCCCGGCTGACGGGTAAACGTGGCCAAGTGTCGGCCCGTCCGAGCACACGTGCAGTGGGTCACTCGCTGACTAGCAGGAGTGAACTGGTCAACCCCCCCATCCTGTAGGTCAGCACCAATCACCAAGTTCGTAGAGAACGAGGGAAGGTAAAGACCCGACAGGGAGCCAGAAGGGGCCGCCGGACACGGTAGGACAGTGGAGTAGTGGGCAAGGACAGGACCCCCAGAGGGGTCTGCCAGGGAGACTGCAACCGGCCGACTGAGCGGCGTGAGTGTGGTGCGGTCTCGAAAGAAGGAGCGGGAGGCACCCGAGTCGAGGGTGAAGGTGTGCAAAACCTGAGCCGACGTGGTACCTGAGAGAGCAGACTCACCAGCACCTGAAGCAGCAGACTCACAAGCACCTAGAGCAGCGGCCTCAATGCCCGGGTCAGGCAGAACACACAGGTAACAGTCACCCTCAGCACTAGTAGACACAACATACATGGCAGCAACAATAGCATCATAGTCAAGATCAAAGATAGCTACACCAGACTTGAGCAGATCACCCCAGCGAGGGATCTCAGTGGCGTGAGGGAACTGGATACGCCAGGCGTCCGACAGGCGGCCAAAGCAGCGCAGGGTGGCGTGCGGCCCGCCGCACGGCTCCCCAGTGCGGTCGCCTGTACGCAGGACGTAGGTACAGGGACCAACACCCCCAGGCCGCTGGCGAGCAGCGTACCACTCACGAAGCTGCTGGGGCGACGGAGTCTCGCGAGAGCGCTGCTGCTGCTGGCGCTGACCACCACCAAAGTCTCCTCGCTGCACAGCTCCACCCCGACCAGCTCCACCTCCGCCGCCGCCACCGCCGTCGCCGCCGCCGCCGCCTCCACCTCCACCGCCGCCACCGAAGCCCCCACCCCCACCACCACTCCCACCCCCACCCCCTCCGCCGCCTCCACCGCCACCACCGCCGCCCCCGCCAGCTCCTCCAGCGCCCTTGCCCCCCTTGCCCTTGCCGTTGCGGCGCCTCCCACTAGGAGCAGACGCAGCGCCGACCGACTCGGTGCCAACGAGGTCGACAGCACCAGCAGAGGCAACAGAGGGCAAAAGGGGGACGGGGGAGCACCCCTCAAAGAAAGGGGCACAAGGGTCACCACGAGAGGCTCCTACAGCGAATATGCTCTTCTCAGCTGCAAGGAGGCGCTCCTTGAGGAGGTCAACGGTGAGTGTGGTGGGGCAAACAGAGAGGAAGTGGTCCCTGACCGAGCGAAGGGAGTCAGGGAGCCGGGTGACTAGGTAGTAGAGGGTGATGTACATGGGGGGGGGGGTTCTTGGCGCAGAACTCAGCAGGAAGCGCAGCGCGGTAGCGGGTGTCACTAGTGCGGAGGTGTGTAATAAGGTCAGCGACTGTGGCAAATGCGGCGAGGTCAGGGTACAGGTACGGCAGCATGAGGCGACTCAGGGCAGCAGTGGCAGGGGAGGAGTAGCGTGCAACTACAGCGTCGTACAGAGTCTTAGCACTCTTGTACTGACTAAAGTGCGCGCGCTCAGTGGACGGTAGGTGACTACGCACAGCAAGGTGGGCAGCAGCATCGAGCGTGGTCCACTGCGAGCGAACAGTACTGTCAGCATCAGCAGCAGGGGCAGTAGAGGCGCCAGACGTGAGATCGAACAGTGAGAGGCCATCCTTGCTATCGCACTGTAGGAAAAGCTGCAGATCATCTACCCAGACCTCAAAGTCGACCGCTCGACCCTCAGCATCAAATGTGAGTACATTAGGATTTGCCATAGCAGCAGGAGCAGCAGCAGTGGCCTAGCTACAACAGCAGCAGTAGCAGCACGACTCGGCAGGGCGGGGCGGTTCGGCAGGGCGGCTCGGCTAGGCAGGGCGGCGTGAGTGCAGCAGCACGCGGGTGCGGCGGTGCACTTACCAGTGGCGGAAGAGGTGGGCCGCTACTGGTGGGGCTGGGCCGGGGCGCGTCAGCAGAGCAGGGGGGGGGGCGCCACAAGGAAGGGGCCGCGGCGAGGCGGCAGGTAAGAACCGGGACAGGCGCTTCGGCAGGGCGGCTGCAGGCTCGGCAGCGGCAGCAGGGCCGCTACGGTGGCAGCTGCTGCTGCAGCAGGGACGGCGACGGCAGCTGCT